ACTAAATAACGAGCTAACTAACGTGCTAGTTATCCAGCTAACTAGTGCTACGCTACTAAATAACGAGCTAACTAACGTGCTAGTTATCCAGCTAACTAGTGCTACGCTACTAAATAACGAGCTAACTAACGTGCTAGTTATCTAGCTAACTAGTGCTACGCTACTAAATAACGAGCTAACTAACGTGCTAGTTATCCAGCTAACTACTGCTTCAATTACTAACTAGATAACTTCTTGTAATTAACTAACTGATTAATTAGTGCTGCTGTTAACTAACTGATGCATTATATGTGTGATTATCCTGAGAAAAGTATACCGTATAACATTGAATACACATAAAAGTATATAATCCCTGTAGTAGATTATTTACCCGAATAACAAATATTTTCACTGTTAAAATAATAGAAAGAAAACAATGTTCGTTTTGTATATTTTATTGTTTTGAAAGAATGTACACCGTTTCTAAATATCAGTAGACTATCACGTGGACATCAGTGGCATTAAGTTTTCTAATTAAAATTATCTATCAAATGATAGATTTCGGAAACTATACTTAAAAGTATTTTACTTGATTTATTTTTGTATAATATTTCTTTTTTAGATCGTTGCCCTAGCATTCTTACTGCTGTCAGCCTTTCTGTGAAGCGCCACCTAGGACAAGCAGTGTGAAACAAACTTTGCTCGTGAAGCTTTCGGTATTCAGTTGGTGCAATCACACCTAAGCGCGTGAGTACGTGAGTTCCAGTCGCGTCTACATCGCTTTCAGTGCTGCTACAAGTACAATCCACCCGTTTTCCGTTCGAGCAAGACTCTGTAATGTTGTAAACAGTTCGAAGAGTGTTCGGTGGTTGCTGTCGTCATTCGAATCGTGATTGTGAGAAAGTGTTAAACAGAAATTTGCTCTGTAAGTCTAACATAATATATAATATCTGCAAGGGGAAAAAAATAAGGAACATGTAGATTTGTTTTCCAGTATTAATGATTAGGTAGCATTGTTGATATACATCAGCAGAAGGCTAAACGCTAATGGAAAAACGTTATACAAGATAATTTCTGCTGTCTGAATTGAACCAGTTTCACCCAATTTACTGATCTCTGAACTAAAGTACTTTTTTTTCTGTCACAGTAGTGTAAAGCTCCATAAGAGACTGCTTGAAGTCTGTGCCGTGTAGCTCTACCTCGATATATTACATGAGAGTAAACTGTTTTTTGTATGGTTAGATGACGTTTATGTTGGCCACATTTTTACTCTTTTTAGAAGAAGAAGCTTTTGCAAGGTATGAAAATGTTAACATTTACTTTTCTTTCCAGTCTTTTAGAACTTATTTCACAAATCAGCATCTTTTAAGATTAAAATTAAGGAATTAAAGATTAAGGAATACCTTGTACAATGTATGATGTTGAAAAGTGTGAAACACACAAAATGTCGCGAGTTGTCTATTAATAGGGTTTCTTACGCATGAAAGTTTAGGTTTAGAACATCAGTATTCAGAGATTTATTGTACTCATACTTTCTGTCTTTATTTGTTTGTTTTTGGTAAACAAACACTTGCAAGGTAAACAAAACAGTGGTCCTTAGTAAGGATGTTTCTATATACTCTGTAACTGCCTGCTACTGAGCACTGGAGGTTCCTATGGTGATGATTTTCTGACATGCATTGTAAATGCTTACTACTAAGCACTAGAGGTTGATGTGGTGATGAGATTCTTACATGTATTATAACTGCTTACTATTGAGCACAATAGTTTATTATGGTGACGATGTTTTTCACCCATTGTAACTACTTATTACAAAGCACGAGAGGTTACTATGGTGATGATGTTCTTACATGCATTGCAACTACCTGCTATTAAGCACTAAAGATTAATATGTTGATGATGTTAATCGTTTCGCAAGTGCCTGTTGCTGAGCGCTGCAAGACACTAAGAAATTTTTACATACCTTAGAAGCACGTAGTTTAGAACAACTTAAAATACTAGAAGCAAATGAATATATATAACAAATCAATCCAAAATGTCAGCAATTATCAGTTTAGTAGATTTCACTCTCTTGAATTCCGTTATTAACTTTGATAAAGCGTCTACATTTTGGGTTCTAATGTAAAATGTAGATATTTGATTTTATTACTAATAATTTTAAAACAGCTTTCACCAAATGTCAGTATAAAATTTTCACAGACTAGTCAATATGAATCTTTTTTGAGAATTAAAACCAATTTACGACGTCAGTGCTATATCAAAGACAAAAATTAAATATGGAATAATCTCAATTAACAAATTCCCCGGTGACTTCAGGACTTATAACGTTAAAATTCATACAACCCATTGTGTAACTTTGCGCTTATAAAAGTAGGTAACTATACGTATAGAACTATCGTATGAACAGCATCAGGGTTTATAATGACCTGAAAGGTTAGGGAAATTGTTGGGGGGAGAAAATGTCAGGGAAGTCTAAGAAGTTCAATTTTCGCTATAAACACTGCCACATAGTAAGAGCAGGCTACTGGGATGCCACGCGTGGTACAAGCAGCCACTTACTTATTATATAATGCAATGAAAGCTATATATTTCACCACAGTGATAATTCATCGCTACTTCTGTTCACTAAACGACTTTAGTGCATTATATAGCTATTATTAATTGGCTACGCAGGTTTTTAATTTCAGTATTTCTTTGTTTTCAAGATTGCAATTTACAATTTCAATATAAAATTAGTAGATTATTATAATGACCAGTGGCTAGAAGACATATTGAACCATGACTTCATATCTTAGTCATTAGATTTACGTATAACAAAATCTAGAGCTACTAAATTACAGGAGAATGCTAGTTTTAGTGTCCCTACTGAAAATTCTTGTTTCTTTGTTATTAATCACAAAGCTACAGAATGGGCTATCTATGCTGTGTCCACCGCATGAATCAAATCTTGAGTATTAGCATCATAAGCTCTCAAGCTCACCATTTAGCTAGAAAGAAACAATGCCGAAAGACGTTGAATATCAAAAGAACTTATCAGCTGATTCGGCATATATTTCTTTGAAGTCAAGTACCTGTTTCGATCGCAATGAACTATCAAGTGAAGCAACTGAAAACTCATTCCAAAACGGAGAATGAAGTGACACCTGTCGAACTTAACAATTTGAACACCTCCCATTGGATGATAATATCGTAAAAACTGAGTAAGTTACAAACATGTCTTTCAACTTTCACTTGAATGCCAGTCAACTGTAAAACAGGTTCCTGTAACAGCTAATCAATTTCAAGTAAGCAGTCCTAAAGTGGCTTATTTTGTGTCTTGTGTTTTGCTAATCAATTTCAAGTAAGCAGTCCTAAAGTGGCTTATTTTGTGTCTTGTGTTTTGCTAATCAATTTTAAGAAAGCAGTCCTAAAGTGGCTTATTTTGTGTCTTGTGTTTTAGCTGCATACTTTTGCGATATTATATGAGGATTATGTTCTCTGTTTCGACGAGTCATTAAACAAAGTCTGAATGGACAGATAGACCATGTAGATTTCTTTCTTTTTTTTTGGGAAATGTGTGTGTGTTTTATAGCAAAGCCACATTGGGCTATCTGATGTGTCATCTAACCCTTGATATTAGCGTTATAAGTCCGTAGACTTACCGCTGTCCCACTGGGGGACTTGCCGAAAGCAACTGCTAACGACCTTCTCGTGAAGTTCAAGAGAATGTCCTTTGCCACTTTCTAAGCTGTTACAACTTATGATGGGCAGGCTTTGTAAACCACAGTTGTATGGAGATTCATATGAAAACAAGATCCATCGCAGATCTTGTCTCAACCAGCTACCATCTTGGACTCTAATATGGCTGCCATCGAAAACCAGCATTATTCAACTACATGCTTTAAATGTACATAGAGATGTCATATAAATATCTAAAGTTTGGCGTACATGTAGCTTTTAATATGGACATTCGTGTAAAAGCAAGATCCATCGCGGATCTTATCCCAATTAAATCATGACCATCAGCGCAAACCAACATAACTATATGCTTTTTATTTACATAGAAGTGTCATCTAAATGTCTAAACACATGTTGTCTTGGACAGTGAGTTTGGTTTTAACGCTTGAATAAATAGATAATTCTAATTTTAAAACGCACTGCTAACAATTACCAGTTTACTACAACATCCGGAAACCAAGTGGGCAACAGCAAAATCGTAAACAAAGCATTTAGTTATTATTAACCTGAAGGGGGGTGAATTGTTCAGTTTTATTCCTCTTGATAAACACAGACTCATCCCGCGCAGTCATGGAGAGGCAAATACCAGACTCATCTTGCATGCAGCCAACGAACACTGATGTTGTAATCTGTCAATTACCCATGTACTCAAGTTACACATCCAGGAGCTCTGAATTGCCTTTGTAGTTGGCTAAAACTCCTCATGCATCTCAGCATATGGCATTTCTTGGTACAAGCACGTGCAAGGTATTCTTTCACGCTTTCATGGGTTGCGATACAGTGTCTGCCTTCTCTCGATGAGGGAAAAAAACTCCATTTGATACATGGAATGCTTTTCCTGTTGTAATCACAACATTTTCAAAACTTTCAGAAATACCAACAGAAAATCATTCAGGAGGAACTTGCAATGATGGAGTGGTTCTTTGTATTAATGTACAGCTAAACTTGCCCAATTAGAATGTGAACCAGGCCCACCCAGCACCCTTTGCCCAAGGCAGATATCCTTCCAATGCAAGCTGTTCTTGAACACTATATAAGAAGAGCTGCTTACCAGGCTGGTCATATATGGGGGAAATCACTAGTACCTGAACTGAATGTACCGACTCCTGGTGAATGGATTTGGGATCAAGCGGACCAAGGTTGGACACCTTTGTGAATAATCCTACCAGAGGCTGCCAACTCTTGCAACTTTATGTTTGTGCAAAATAGCATGCAGGGATCTAGAAAAATACTACATGGTTAGCTCGCCTTGCACTGCATTGTATTTCTATGTCAGAAAAATTTGCCACCAAGATTAATGTTTAGAAGGTCCATGATGGTTAAAATAACTTTACATTGTCTTTGTCTACATTGGTGTAGATTATTTGGATGAATTAAATCAAATGATTCTTATAGAAAAAATTACAATAATGTTTAAAGTTTTTAAACATTAGTTTTTACTTTTTTAAATGTGATTATTATTTTTGTGTTTGAGGAAAGTTGATGATAGATGACGTTTCCCATTGTGTTACACGTTATACAAGTTTACATCTTAATGTATATGTTATATAATTGATAAAACTGTTTGTTTTAAGACGTTCATATGTGGCTAGTTAAATTTGCTTCAGTGAAATAAAATAATCTAGTAAAGATATCTTTAAGATTTTATTGCCATGTGATATAATCTATCAACTGGACTCACAATGCTATTTGTATTAAAAAGAGGTCTAGACATTAACTGATAACCACAGTGAAACTAGAAAGCTTCATACACTAAATTATATGCTATAATCAAACTCTCTGACCAGTAAAATGCGGTTTTGGATATTAAGGTAACATTTGTATGTACATTTAGTGGTGTAAATTTGCACAAAACTGTTTTTGATGGTGGCCATGTTGAAATTCAGTATGGCAGCTGTTTGGGACAAGATTTGCAATGGGTCTTGCTTTTACATGAATATGCACATGAAAATCTATCTATATGCCAAATTTTAGATAATTAGATGACATTATTATGGGCAATTGGAGCAAATATTTGAGTAATGTTAGTTCTTTTTATGGTGGTCATATTGGAATCAGAGATTGCTGTTGATTGGGGAAAGATCAACGATGGCTCTTCCTTTTATATGAAGCTCCATGTCAAAATCTATAAGTATATTAATTTTCATTCTTCACAATTTGATCAGTTCTTAGCTTATCTGCTGGACCACTACTGGATCTTGACACATGTGAAATCTATAGGACTTTTAAAACAAGCCTGCGGCAGCGTAGGATCATGATTCCATCTTATACGTATATATTACACGTTTTAAAGATTTACCAGCTTGATGAGCTCTTTACACAACTGTCAAAAATAGTGCACTCTGTCCTTTCAAAATGCAAAATGTTTCCACACAGGCATTTGGGTTTGGTGTTGTGAAAAAATGTGTAAAGAAAGTTAATATAATTAATATTAAATTAGGAAGAACTATGAAGAATGCATCAAAGAACCATCTTATAAAATGTGAAATGGTTTGTATCCTTAGAATATCAGCTGTTCCAGCGCAGATTTCAGAATTCTAAACCACCAAAACATTTTTTTCCTACGAGGAATCTGATCATC